AGGGGAGGAGATGGAGGAGAGGGGAGGAGATGGAGGAGAGGGGAGGAAAGAGGCAAGGGAGGAGGGGACAGAGGGAAAAGGGACAGTTGCCAGTAGAGGAAATGAGAAAGATGAGAGGATCCCCAGAGCTTCCAGAGCTGGGGTGGGGGGCGATAAGTAGGCGGTATGGAACCCTAGGCTACAAGGGATGCCTCTCTGCTTGCCTTATAGCTGGAGAAGAACAGGAAGTAGCTGTGGCGGTCTAGGGGAACAAATATTTGCCAAGGGAGGAGAGCCCCAGGTGGAGGCCAGGCAAGGACCTTGATCTAGCCCCACACCCTTTCTCCTCCAGGTCTAGCTTCACTGAGAAAACTGACAAAAGTGAGTGCGCTCCAGTTACTAGGGAGTAGATTGGGAAACTGAGGCCAGCAGGGGTTAGCTCACTAAGGGACATAATTCCTTCTGCCTGCATCCTGTGTGAGGCTGCTTGTCTCCCCCACATTTCTGCTTCTTCTCTTACAACATTCTGTCTCACAGTGAGAGGAACTGAGGCTCAGAGAGGAAACCATGTCCGGCCCAGGGCTATCCAAGCAGCTGGAGTGGACTCAGCCATGAGCTCCAGAGGGATTCAGTTTCCCTGAACCCCTCCATTTCCCCAACGCCCCAGGGACAGTCAAATCTAAGAAGTCAACATGTCCCACTGGGAGGCAGTCAGAGCTGAGTTCCAAGCCCTCTCAGGTGCCTCAGTTTCCCCATCTGTGAGATGGGTAACCTACTTATCAGGTGTGGTGGTCCGTACCTGCTATCCACCCACATTTGAAAGTGGACCCAGTTCAAGACTTAGAAGACTCTCCTTCAAAACAAGAACCTGCTTCCTGCTTTTGGTGCCCAAGCAGAGCCTCCCTATCTCATGGCTTCTCTGCCTCAGTCCTTATCAGGGGTCTCACCTCATTGTCACCATCACTGGAACCAGAGAGCTGGGACAATCGGCTAAGATCCCAAAGGGAGCGGCTGGGCCGGGTTGGGGGACCACTGGCCGTCCTGGTGCGCTGTACACTCCTCAAGATGTCACTGAGAGCTGGCCCTGCAGGGGGGAGGGTCTCCCGTCTGTCCCCCTCAAGGATGTGACAGGCAGCCAGGCGGTGAGCCAAAGGTCCATCAGACAGCAATGGGGCCACGGGGGCCACAGGACAGCGCAGGGCCACGCGGTGTGGGCTTCGAGGTAGCTGTTGGCCCTCAGGAGGGCTGGACAAGGGGCTTCGAGCTGGTGCTGGTGGGAGTGGCCTAGAGGCCGCATACAGGACCCGGAACTCCTGGCTGAAGGCATCTGCGATTTCCCCCGTGAGCAAGGTCACCAGGCCCCGATGTAGGCGTGAGTCGCTCCATGTGAAGCTAGGGATGGAGAGTGGTGGTCAGGATCTGTGCAGGGTGGTGCCCTCCCAGGCTCTGAGGTCTTAAGTTACGACGTCACAAGCCTAAACTCCCCCGGTGAATAGGGTAATAAGTATCTACCCTGATGCTTGTCACAACCAACATGGGGCCAACATGAGAGAAGATGCTTATATCATCAAGCTGTGTCTGGTCAAAAAGAAGCCAACAATCCCACCACTCAGAAGGATGAGGCAGGAGGATCAGGAGTTTGAACCCAGCCTCTCTACTACACAGTTCCAGAAAAGCCTGGGCTACATGAGATGGAAAACCTTCTAGTGATTACCTGAAGTCAGATGAGCTTGAACCCATCCCACTGAGGGCATCTCAGTGCCTCAGTTTCTCTGTCAGAAGGTGGGGTTGAAGCTCCACAGGCTCACCAGGAAGGCCGAATTTCCCAGGCCTGAGCACTGCACACCAGGATCCAAGCCCGCCACAGAGCACAAAAGCCCTGCACGGGGCCTGTGGGCTGCAGAGGCCGGCACCCACACCACCCTCATCGCTACGTGGCTGTGGCTTTATCACCTCCATACATTACACTAGAGGCGCCTCTTACTTGTCTCAGGATCCCTGCATGCAGCAAGCACCACTCTATGGCCTCAGTGGCCGTAAAGCAACAGTGCCATGGGCAGGCAGAGCTCATAACTGCGTAAGTGGTCCGCATGACATGAGTGTCCTTCAAGTGTCCTTACCTTGGCAGGTGATGGTCCTGGTACCTTCAGGCTGTGGTAGGCCAGGCCATGACCCCTCCCCCGCCCACAGCAGTCAGGGAACCCTGAGTGTCTGTGAGGTCACTGAGTTCCATGGCCCAAAGGCTTGTGGAGCAGGGGTACGGGCCCATCTTCAACCCAAGGACTCAAGAGCTTCTGAGAAGGTCACATTGTGTGAGGAACCAGCCACACTCCAAGTACTGACCCCTGAGGCCAGGACGAGGGGCAGGAGGTGTTCCAGGAGGTCACACTCAGCCATCCAGGTCAAGGAAGACCCTGGCCTGGCTCGGGCGCACTCCACGACGCCAGGCCACCATGGTCCTTGGCTGGCTGCTGCTTCTGGTGTTGGTTCTTTGCCCAGGTGCGACAGGCATCAAGGACTGCGTCTTCTGTGAGCTGACCGACTCCACTCAGTGTCCGGGCACATACATGCACTGCGGGGATGACGAGGACTGCTTCACAGGCCGAGGAATAGCCCAGGGCGTGGGGCCCATCATCAACAAAGGCTGCGTGCACTCCACCAGCTGTGGCCGCGAGGAGCCCGTCAGCTACATGGGGCTTACCTACAGCCTCACCACCGCCTGCTGCGCCGGCCACCTTTGCAATCGGGGTACTGGCCCTGCCACAGGGGCTCTCAGCCTGGCACTGGGTCTGCGGCTGCTCCTGGGCCTGTCGTTGCTGCTTCGCTACTGGCTGTGACCGCAGGGACTGCAGAGCCTGGGGCTGTGCCCCAGGCCCCCACGTCCACCCCTTCCCCCCATTAAATGGCCAGAGGTGCAGTCTACCTCCTGTGGCCCTGGCTTCCTCCGTTCCAGGGCCCATGGGAGCCAGGCTGGCAAAGCTGCTGGCGTGCCATCGTGCAGGCTGCAGCCTGCGACTCTCACTGCTCTGCTGTGCCCATTGGTCCTAAGAGGCACATCTATTCAAGTTTGCTTAGGTGCTTCGTTGTGTTGGCATCACCTTAGAGTTCATGAAATATGGTAAAAAACAGTAATACCAGATGGGGTTTCAGAGCACCTTTTTTTTTGCGGGCAGGGTTGCTTTATGAGGCAGCGTGTCCTGTATCCCAGGATGGCCTCGAGTTCTCTACATAGCTGAGGATGGCCTTGAGCTCTGCGATCTTCCTTCTTTGAGTTGTGGACCAGCACATTCAGCTACGAAGCACTTATGCCATATATTGGTCAGCGCTCTGTCCTCTGGCAAAGCCAGGATGATAGTGACACTCCAAAGCATCATGGTCTCGGGGCTGGAGGGTCTCAAAAATTGAACAGGACCACCAGCATCAGCACCAAATGAGAACTTGCCAGAAATGTACGTCCCCACCACTGGCCCGGTGAGCTGTGTGTCGGCAAGCCTGTTGTATACGGCTTTCCTTACCCTTCAAGAATAGTGGTTCTTGGCCAGCACCTTTACCCTGGGGCACTTGGCTATGACTGGAGGATTCTGGGATTGTGATGTTGTGAGTGGGTAAGGGACGCCACTGACATCTGCTGGATGGAGGCAGCAATGAGGCACAATATGCACATTGAGGCTACAATAGTCTAATCTTTCATCTTATTCTGGAGGGCAGAAACTGAGCACAGAAAAGGGAAGTTTCCTAAGTCACATAGCTAGTAGCTGGCAGGGTTAGGATCTGAATCCAGACCCGCTGGCACCTAAGTCCAAGCCTCCGTTTCCCAGGATTCACAAGGCACTCAACTGGCCAACAGCAGAGAGAGCCCCAAATGTCCTGTGTGGCAGAACTCCTCTCCAGGACAAGCATGCGGACTCACTTTAGAGATGAGTATGGAGCACAGAGCACAGAAAGAGTGTCCCCCGCTCCGCTACCACACCCTCTCCCACCATCTGAGCAAGTCCAGGGAGGGCTGGGCACAGGGTGTCATGAGGGGACACACCTGTAGGATCCCGAGATGACCCTGTCACCGTCCAGCAGCAGAAACTTCTCCCGCATATGGCCGCTCACCTGCCGTCGCCTGCGGCTCTGGAAGGTGTGGCCTCGCACGGTCCGGATGTCCAGGTTCTGGGGAAAGGCAAACTCTATGATCCCATGGGTACTGTCCCAGCATCCCCAGGGCTGCCAACACCAAATCTCACCTAGCTCTGGCTCAAGAATCTCCTTAGGATAGGCCCACTCACCCAGTGACATGAGCTTCAGATCTCAGGGAATCCCAGTGACCCAGAGACCCATGGAAGTCTTCCTCTGAGGAATAGGGACATTTAGATACCTCTGGCTCCTACCTCAGTGGTCCAGGGGTTCACCCCTAGCTGCTGGGCTAGTGCCAGGAAGGCAGGCAGATGCTGGTGGTCAAGCAGTAAATAGACAGGTACCCAGCGGCGCGTGGCAGCATCCAGCATGTCTGTGAGCAGGTCAGGGTCGGTGAACCTATCCATTACCACGGCCACCAGCTAGGGTGGGAACAGGGTAGACGTAAGACCGTGGCACTCTAGGTGCAGGCTCCAGAGACACAGCTTCAAGGCCTGGCTTGAAGGACCGCAGGGAGACACCCCCGAGTCGCCCCCGTGCGGAATGTGAGCCGGGTTGCGCTCTCGGGAGCCCCAGTTTCCAGCTGCTGAAAACTCATCTTCAATCCCTGGTTGACAGACTGTCCTTTAGAATGCCAAAGGTCTACAGCTGCAGGTTAGGGCCAGGTGCTGGTGGCCAGGAAGGCTGGGCCACTAGGGTGTGCCTTGCAGGCAGTCAGGATTATGGTCTCTCAGAACAATGAGCTTCAGCTGCATCACGCCTGTTTCGCTATGCGCTCGACTCTTGGAAGACTGTTCATATTAACCCATGTAGGGCACTTGGCACTTGGCCGGAGAATCCCCGGCTCCTAAGGAATGGGGCTCCAAGGGGTGGCAGGGCAAGGAACCTGGGGTTTTCCTGGAGGAAGCTAGGAGTCTGGTTTGGTGTGAAAGGGGGCTGACACAAGTGGTCACAACTCGGCTCCAGAAGTGTGGACACCAGGTCTCAGGGAGTTGAGACCTCCAGATCTGAAGGGCAAAAGGATAAACCCTGGGCTCCCGAGGACCGTGGTGTAGCCTTGCAAATTCTAGGAGGGTATGGGGAAAGCCTAGGTATTGGTCATAGGGTGTCACCCACCTTTCGGGCAGCCTGGATCTCCTGGTGTACCAGCTCTTTAATAGGTGGCTGGCCCTCGCCTGGAGGCTGGGTGTAGAGCTGGGCCCTGGTGATGCCCTTCCAGGCCGTGTCCTCGGGCCAGCCCAGCCGCAGCAGGGGTGCTGGCTCCTCAGACTGCCTAGGCCAGTAGGTCAGACTGCCAATATCCCTATTGGCGATGCAGCCTGTGCCTGCTCCACCAGGCTCCTGGCTCGGGACTGTCCAGTCTTCAGCAGCTGCAGCCAGGGCCTGAGCTTCGTCTGCACTCAGAAAGGGAGGCAACCTCTCCTGCTGCACGCAAGCGTGGAAGGCCTCCTCCCCACTGCTCAGCAGAGCCTCGAGAGCTAGCCGCTGGCCCTCGGAGTACAGGAAGCCAGGCTTGGCCTTGCTCAGGGCTGGCTCACCAGCCCCCAACTCCTCTCCCTCCAGCGCGGCCAGCTGGGAGGCTGCCATTGGAGCCACGCAAGGCCTCAAGAGGCCAGGTCCTGGAGGGTCTGGATGGCTTTTGGGGACTGACCATCTGGGGTCAGGATAGCCCTGTAAACATCTATACAGCTCCCTGAAGCTGCCCCTGACTCACAATCCCTACAGACTATCCCTTTCACCATCTGCCTCTTGAGCACCTCTCAGCCATCTCTCCCACTGTAATAGTTGCCTCTGCAAATCACAGGCAGGCCCACCTCCCACTTGGAGCCACAGTAGCCTTACGTGGCCCTCTGCTGCCCCAGGCTGGTCAGGATAACCTGCCTGTCCTGACAGTTCTGGCTACCTGCCAAACCATTTCCAGGTAAATGGCCACTTGCTTGTCCCAGGTCACCCTACTGCTCACAACCAATGGCTTTGGCCTATCCGTGGTACCTGACCCACTCTTTCCTGTTCCCGTCATGGCTGCATGGTGGATTTTAGCACCTGATGGCCAGCAGTCAGTTTCTAAATCTACTCACTAGCTCCCTCAGGCTGAGCGATAACCTCCTAGTTAGGCCTAGCGTGGGTCAGAAGCAATCTACAACCTTCTCCCAGGTGCTTGCCGGTCTGCTTCAATGATGCCCTTCACAGGTTCGGGGAGGCAAGGTATACCTCAGCTATGACCCTCAGAACCAGTCGTTTTTTTGTCCTGACCCAGAACTTAGCCTCTGCACCTACCCGTCTCCAGGCTGCACCCTACTTCCTGGACAGGAGCCACCCTTCCCCACCCCATGTACCTGCTGAGCCTGGAGGTTTTCCTAGGCAATGGGCACCGCAGAGCCCAGAGAAGGAAGCGGAGTAAAACCAGGCCTCCCCTATCCACAGACCCCTGACCCCACAGGTCAGAGGACCAGCTCAGAAGCTGCTTCCACCCGAGCAGCTCTCCCCGACTGGGTATTGGGCTGCTGGACACAGCCCCTTGTGCAAACAGAGGGGGGCGGGCCCACTGGGCACCTCACTCAGCAACTGGCCATGGGTAGGGCCTCACTGTTCCCACGCCTTGCTCCACCCCTGCATCAAGATCTTGGGGAAAAACTAACCCTAGGAGGAAGCAGTGAACACCTGACACCCAGCAGAGGCGGAGCTCCTGTCAGTGGCAGAGGGCTACGCAGGTGCAGGGAGCCCGCACTGCAGGCTAGCTTTCTGAGGCACCGTGTACAGACTGGGTATCTGATAGTCTGCCTCACTGGTGGCCCTCATCCCATCCTGCCCCACCCCAACTTCATCAACACACAGGACCATCAACATCCAAAGCTTTTTAATAACAGTAAGATCCAAGGTTAGTTTTTGTAGCCTCGGCTGGCTCTTCGGCCTCTGGCACGCTCGAACTTCCGGCCCTTGGAGCGGACATAGGGTCTGTGGGGAAAGGAAGGTCAAAAAGCTCAGTGGTGGGCCACAGGGATCCTCTTCTGGGCTTTGACAGCATTCACAGGAACCACCCCTCAGAAGTGAGCAGGCTCTGGTTAGCCCACAGTTGTAACCACTCCCAACCCCGTAAGCACAACACCCTAGACCACTGTGGCTAATAGCTGCCAGGGAACGAGGTCTGAGCCCTCAGCCTGGTACTCACTTGGTGTGGCTGTGTGGGGTCCCTGGGGCCTTGCCAAAATGCCGGTACACCTCTCGGCCCTTCCGAGGACCTGGCCAGGGAGGAAGAAGTTAGCACTGAGACCAGGAACTGATCACAGAAAGCTCCCTAAACCCAGGAGATTCAAAGCAGCCCTCACTTACCAGACAGGAGCACGGTGCCTCGGCCCTTGGGAGACTCCAGGGCTAGCTGGTCAAAGGTGAGGATCTTACCCCCGGCCTTGAGGATGCGACTTCGGGCCCGGCTGCTCACTCGCAGTGCACACACCTGAGAAGGCAGAGACACCAGAAGCTACGGGGGCTGTTACACGCCCTCCCGTAGCACTTTGACAAACTGGCACCAAAATCTCTCCAGTGGATGCTAAGTACTCTCAACATTTCTGGTCCAAATGGAACCCAAAACACCATTACATAACAGTGAGGAAATCTGGATAGACAAAACAACCAAAGGCTGTGCATCCCAGGAGCCAGTGCTGTCAACAGCTCACAGCAGAGCCTTGAGGGATGCCCCCTGGATCCATGCTGGTCACACACCTTCAGCTTGGGCACTTCTAGAATCCTCACATCATCTGTGACTGTCCCCACAACCACAGCTGTTTTGTTCTCCCGGCCAGGAAGCTTCATCTTTCTGATCTAAGAGGAACAAACAGGTTAAGTCACTCTATGTTCACACCTGTCACCCAGAAGACCAAATAAGCCAAGACTTCCAATGGCTGAGGCCAACCTCCTTCTCCCCAGACAGTGACAACCCTCTCCCAGGCCCATGATTCTCTACCTGCACTCTGCTCTGAAATTCAGGCAAGGATATGGAAACTACCCTCCTCCAACCCCAGTGGGGAAAAGCACAGAGCTCTACCCCTGCCCAGCTACTAACCATGCGTGACAGGGACAGAGGTGGCCGGTTAGTGCGGCTCATAAATAACCTCTTCAGCACAACCTGATTGAAGGTGGAGTTGGTTCGTCTGGCCAGAAACCTGTACAGCTGTCAGGGAGAGAAAAAGTGAGCATGTGACAGGACCCCTCCAAACCTCAGAGAAGCCTCCCCCTGCCCCCCAAAGCTAGGAAGCTTCCACAGCCCTCTCATCCTGTTCAACCTCTGGTGAAAGTTCTACACCGCACAGGCATCCAGATCCCTCCTTTCGCCACCTTACTACCCTAGAGGTTGTTAAAAGGTGCGGTGGCCCAGGCTGGGCTTACCTTAACTAGCAGCCGAAGGTATATGTCCTGGCTCTTGGGCTCCTTGCGCCGAACCTTCCGGTCCTTGTTGTGGCGAATGTCAACACCCTGTGGGAGGTGACAAAACACTGGAAAGCCAGTTCCTAATGTGGCCAAGTGCCCCATATCTTTGATGACTTATATACACAAAACTTTACTTATCCTTCAGGCTATTTAGTCAACAACTCAGACCCAAAAAGAACCTATTAAAATTGGAGGGTGCATACATGCTCCTAGGGGACCTGGCCCACCTATGACAAACTCTTGCAACACCCATACTAAGATTTTTGTCTGGGCCAGGCACTGTGCTCCTCCCATACTCCAGAAATCCTGTGAAACCCCGTGTCACCCAGTTAGTCAGTCTACCTTACAGCACTTGTTTAGGATGCGAAGGCCCTGGGTTCTAGGTCCAGATCCTTGCAAGAATGTTAACTCTAAGTTCTCAACACTGGCACCAAGGCTTTTAAGTGCCCAAAAGAAGCCAACAGAGGATCCTAGACACAGAAATATCTTTACAACAAAGTGAGACTCTTATACTATCTACTTCAAAAGAGTCCTAAAGCTTGTGTTTATTCTATTCCCTCTCAATTTCCTGTTAACATCCAAAGGTGGGCGCCGAAATACATCATTTAACCTGCACCTACATCAAGACTCCGTACTGAGCATCTTCACGAGTCCTCCCTACTCACAAGGCACGGACGGGGTTACCGGACATCCTTCCGTCCAAGGTACACTGGGCACAGGCCATGAAAGCACGGAGGAAACTGAAGCCCACCTGGCCCCAAACCCGGCAACATGGGAGCTCCACTCCCCGAAGGACTCAACTTCCCAAACTCAAGAACCACGGACGCCGGGCGTAGTGGCGGCGCCAGGAATCCTAACACTCGAAAGGCTGAGGCGAGGCTACTGACGTGGGTTCGAGGCCAGACTAGATTCACCGTGAGTTAGAATCAGCCTGGGTTAAGGGGCGAAACTTCATCAAGAAACGAGTCCGGAGGCGCCTAGGGCCGGCCGTCGGCCGCGACACGTCCCGGCCACAGGTCCCCGGCTATCCCCCAGTCTCCCCTGGCATCAGCGGCGGCCGCCCGCACCCCTCCGCCGCGCTGCGACCCGGCCCCGCTGAGGATGGCAGCGGATGGGCCAGCCGCGAACGTCGCTACGCGCGCTCACCATGATGGCGCCTCCAGCTCGGCCAGGTCCAGAAAGACAGAATCGCGCCGGAATGGGCGGGGAAAGGTCTGTACGCGAGGCGCTCGTGACGTTGAGCAGGACGCTCTATCCTGCCGCGTGTCTCTGTGGTGTCCTGGTGACGCCATATGGGCGCGACGCGACGCTCTACCTCAATTTGTGTTTCTCTATGGTATGCTGGAGGCCCGACTAAACGGAGAGGCGTCCCCACCCCCCGACCGACCACAGAGAAGCGAAAGCAACGCCAGAGGAAAGGGCCGGCACGCAGGGAGCCTCTCTAGCTTTTCCTAGTCCCTGTTCAGGGATCCGGGGTCCTGCGAGCGACAGACATGCTTGGAGTTAGCAGGAGGGATCGCGCGGTGACTCTCTGGCCGCACGCCGACCGCTTCTCGGTGGCTCCCGGAGGACCCGGTGGGTTGGGTATTGGAGGTTAGGCTTGTCTGGGCCTGAAAAAACGCTAATCTCATACTTCCGGCATTTCCTTAAATTCACGGTTGCGTTTTCCATATGCTCAATTTACTAGAAGCTCAGGAAGTTCTACTAGATCTCTCACCAGAGACTTTCTTGCTGCAATTCAACCCATAGTTCCTTAGTTTTTCAGCATTTTGGGTTCAGCTTTTTTCCCTACCCCTAGATAGCCTCTTCCCGGATCTCTCCTTAGTCTTCAGAAAACGGCTTTCCCTTCCCCCCAGTTCAGACAGGTTGAACTGGCCCAACATTTTCATTGTGCATGTTGATATGCAGAGAAGGCACTGGATCTGGGTTGGAGAGTGGATAGGGCGAGAGAGAATGAGATAGAGATCATGCCGGGGCTGGGGAGGGGAGAAGACGGTGAGGAAACTCCCGGCAGAAGGAGAGACATAGATAGAAAGTTGGACAGCTGACACCTAGCCAGAGTGTAAGCTAGTTTGGGTGCCAGCTCTGCCCTTTTATTTATTTGTTTGTTAAGTCAAGGTTTCACAAAGTTGCCCAGCCTGCCTTTGATTAAGTCTTCCTCCCTCAGCCTCCAAAGTAGCTGGAGTTACAGTCTTCCAACAGCCGGCCTGGCCCTGCTATTTAAAATTGTGACCTTGGGTAAGTCACTTCTGTGTTTTCTGCCTTGTTTGGAACAAGAAAGTGATAATAAGTCTCACAGGGTGTCTTCCATGATTGTCTAGGTCTGTGAACATGTTCAGTCAGCAGTCGGTACAGAGTGCTAGGTAGACTGTTAGCTGGACTTGGGTAGTACAAGACAGGCCAGCTGGACGGGAGAGCTGCTCTGTACTGTGCCCCTCCTCTTCAGAGCCCCAGCCTGGGACTGCACAGTTGAGCAAGCAGGACTTTTTACCCAGAACACCCCTATATGGCCTCCAGTGCTGGGCTCAGGGCCTGCTGGGACACAGCAGAGGCTGGGCTGCCCACTGGGCATCGTGGATCCACGAGGCAGTGGACCAGGTAAAGGGTTGCAGCATTAGGAAGGTTGAGAGCCGCCGGCCTGGAGTCTGAGGTGGTCATGTCTCATGGTTGAGGACATCTGCCACGGCCTCCTCTCATACTGGCAGCTGATACTACCCAGGGTGAGGCAACTTCCTTTTCTGGTTCCCTTCTCCCTGCTGAGGTCTCAGCCCCGTTGGCCGGGTTTCTGCCTTTCTCAGAGCTCAGTGTGCCCAGATCCTCCATTTCACTGAGAACGTCCTCTTATCGTTCTTTGGTATGTTACCTGGGGCTATTGCTGCTGTGGATTGCATGCAAAGTGCTTTTGTTTGGCAATAAGCAGAACATCCTGTCCACTTATCTTTGTAGGAAGCTTTGTCCCTGCTTTGTGAGAGTGCAGCTCAGTGGGAGAGGGCTTTGTTCAGCAGGTGGGAGGGACACACACACGCACACATGCTTATCTCTCCCTTCCGAAAGTCCTGCCGCCCACTGGCCTTGCTGTTTGGTTTCATTTCACCCTGTCTTGTCTATCTCTGTCAACATCTTTATTTTCCTGGGCTCAGGTCTGCTCTATGCTTTTCCTTCCCTATGTTTCTTTCTGGAGCTGTCTTGTCACATGGTGGTTTCCTGAGCAGATGTCACTCTTCCTTTTCTATGGCTATAGTCCCAGGCAAAAAACTTGTAAATTAATGAGCTTCTGGGTTCTGGTTATCATTCCTGAATGGTCTCCACCTGTGTTGGTCATTTTTTGGGGTCTGTTTATTTGACACAACTAGCTACCTTGCATTTCCTGATGCTTCTGCCTCAGCCTCCCAAACTTTAGGATTACTGGATACCGCCTCATTTCTTGTTTCTATCTCTGCTTTGCTCTATCACCAAGAGAATTGGTCTCTGCGGTTCAGGAACTCCTCCCCCACACCCCTTTTCTTTTTATAGACTCCGTTGAGATGGGCCGGGCCTGTTTTGACCGCAACAAAGATGGCGAGCTAAGCCTTGCCTTGGACCAGGTCCTTTCCTCTGCTGCCTATGTGCCCTCACTTGGGATGGGGGCCTCCTGGCACTGCCGAAGCCCCGCCCGGTTTCTGGGTCAGGCCCTGGCGCGTAGTTATGAAGACGTTGGCCCCGCCCCCGCCGCCCTCTCATTGGTGCGGCTCGGACTTCGTGCTGGCATTGGCCGGACGGACGCACACCCCTCCCCCCACCCCTAGATCTGATGGTAGTGCAGGCTTTGGAGGGGCTGGGAGGACGCGGTCTCTGGTTGCAGGGTTTGGGGTGATCCCAGAGGGCCAGACACTCAGGCCTGGTGCGGAACACTTGGTGGGATCTGGACACGGAAACGAGGTCCGCTCCTGGGATGGAGACACACACCTGAGGCTGTGTCGCGGCCTTGGAGTAGGAGTGCAAGCCGGGGATGCTTGGAGCAAACTGAGCGGTCTGCCGGGAGCCTGTAGATGGAGGCCCAGATCTGGAGTCCCGGGAGACCGAGACCCAGTCCGGGGCCTCGTGTATAGTGCTCTGCACTGCTGTCTGATTTGTGGGCCCCGCAGGGCCCTCTGCAGGTTTGAGGGTGGGGCAGTTACCTAGCATTAAGGGAGTGGCCCAGGGCACTTCAGACCTAGATCCTGTGGGACAGTATTCACGGGGTATGTCCTAGGCTGCTGAGGGCCCGGGAAAGGTGACCGGCCAGCCAGGCACCTGGGCTGGACTGCCCAAGGTGAGCATTTAGCAGGCTGGAGCCTTCTGCAGAGCGGGAGAAGGGGCTCAGTCCTGGTTCACACCTGCTTGGAGAGAAGGCGGCCAGACTCCAGGTTAGTGCCTCAGACAGACTTGGTGGTGGCCACTCCCTTGTGCCATATTCTGTCTCTCCTGTAACAGGCAGGGGAGCAACAGGCTTTCTTCATTGGGGTAGGAACTTTTAGGGCTTTTTGGGGGTGATTTTGTCTTGCTTTTTTGTTTTTGAGACAGGGTTTCTCTGTAGCCCTGGCTGTCCTGGAATTCACTCTGTAGACCAGGCTGGTCTCAAACTCACAGAGATCCACCTGCCTCTGCTTCCCTACGTGCACTGAAGGGGTGTGACACCACTGCCTGGCCACTTTAAGTATTTCCTCAGCCTGTACCTCAGAAGCTGTTGTCTCTTCACAGTGTATCTCTACTTATCAGTGCTGTCTCTTTGCTTTGTGCCTGTGTGTCTACGTGCTTTTCCCCTCTCTACCTGGTAGGGTCTTTCTTTCTCAGCCCATTTTCTCCTGCCTCTACCATCCAATTTCCCTCTTGGGTCTTGTTCTTTTCTCCCTCAAGCCTTTACCAGCACCTAGCATACTATGTATCTAAGTATATCCTTAGATACTTTGTGTTTCTTTTCTTGTCTTTTGTCTTGGGTTTCGTTGTTGTTTCTTAGTGGGTGGGGTTGTTTTTTTGAAACAAGGTATCCATGGCTGGCCTGGAACTTCTGTTTCTGACTCCCTAGTGCTCTCTTGAATGCACTGCTGTGTCTGGCTGTCAGGGAATTTTAATTAATTGTTGCGCACAGAGTCCTGAATAATTATCTGAGTTGAATAAATAAATAAATGATGTTTGTCATGCCTAGATACTGGCTTTCCTGGGGTCTCTACATGCTTTTCTGACTCTATGGTATTCTTTCCACGCTCTGTCTTCTTTTCACAGGTCCCCCTCCACCCCCACCATGGGGATCCTGGATTCTCACTGCTGGCTTCTTCCCTCCCCACAGGGTCTGGAGCAGGAGCTGACAAGCCAAGGGTCTAGGAGTGCTGGGGACTGGACCAGGGTCATGGCTCCACCACCACTACTGCCAACGGCTGCCAATACTCCAATCCTGCATGGCGAGTTTGGCTCCTACCCGCCCCATGGCCCACGGTTTGCCCTCACCCTCACGACGCAGGCTCTGCACATCCAGCGGCTACGTCCAAAACCAGAAGCCCGGCCCCGAGATGGCCTCGTTCCTCTGGATGAGGTCTCAGGCTGTGGCACTCTGCAGAGCCGAAGCCCCTCAGACACTGCAGCCTACTTTTGTGTCTACACCTACCCACGGGGTCGCCGTGGAGGCCGGCGCAGAGCCACTCGCACCTTCCGGGTTGATGGAGCAGCCACTTACGAGGAGAATCGTGCAGAGGCCCAGCGTTGGGCAACTGCCCTCATGTGTCTCCTCCGAGGAGTGCCTCTGTCTGGGGACCAGGGTGAGATGCTGGGCCAGAGCCACCTGGGTGTTTCTTTTTCTGTGTGTTTGTACTTTTTGTTCTCTGGGTCTGTCTCAGAAGAGTGAGGCACAGGCAGAAAGAAACCAAGTGAGTGACTCTACCCTGGCTGCATTGTCTGCCCCTCCGTGGGCAACAGGATCGGGACAACAGATGAGTAACAGACTCCTACAGAATAGGAGAGGAGCCACCCAGGTCTCCAGGACCTTCAGGGCCTCACTCCACGCTGAGAAAAGGATTTCCAGCAGAGCGTGTCTCCCCCAGGGCCCCACCTTCTGTGTGAGCCTCACTGCTTAGGGCCAGGAGCCTGAGGCTGCTTAATAAGTGTTCAGGATCCTGGCTTCTTTCCACCTGCCACACACAGGTTCAAAGGGCACATGTTTGTTACCAACCCTTTGCCTCAGCACCTGTGAGAAAAAAAACTGGTTTGACTTCACTGGCCAGGTGACAGCAGGAAAATAGAAACTCCCAGCGGGCCTTGGGTACCTGCCCTTTAATCTATCAAGTCTTCGTGGGGCCCGTTTACAGATATTCTTCTCCAAGACTCAGCCCTTCCTTTCTCTTTCTCTCCTCCCCACATGCCCTTCAGAAATCACCCCTGAACTGCTGCCCCGAAAGCCCAGGTTGCTCATATTGGTCAATCCTTTTGGGGGGCGGGGCCTGGCCTGGCAGCGCTGTATGGAACATGTGGTGCCCATAATCTCCGAAGCTGGGCTGTCCTTCAACCTCATACAGACAGGTAGGGGCTGCTGGGTAGCGGTGGGAGGGAGACTCCTGGGTCTTCTGGGGGCTGTGATAAGATGAGTAGGCTTCCTGCTTAATCTTTTGATTTGTCCCCTTAGAACGACAGAACCATGCCCGTGAGCTGGTGCAGGGGTTGGACCTGAAAGAGTGGGAAGGCATTGTCACCGTCTCGGGAGACGGGCTGCTTTATGAGGTAGAGCGCAGACACCCTGACACTTCCTGGGGGTACTGAGGAATGGGGCAGGACCCAGGCACTCCTTTCCCTACTGCAGGTGCTGAACGGACTCCTTGATCGCCCAGATTGGGAAGATGCTGTGCGGATGCCCATTGGGGTTCTCCCTTGTGGTTCTGGCAATGCACTAGCTGGGGCAGTTAACCATCATGGCGGGTACGTGGCTGGTGAGACAGCAAGGGGTACCTGCTAAATAGAGGGATGAGTCTTAGGGACTATGGGGCCCCATATTCTTGCCTGGTAGCTCGATCTGCACCTGGCTCACAGAGCACCTTCAGTCAGGGTGCCTGTGGAGGGCTGGGGGTGAGACACATGCTCCCTGGTGGCAGTCCTGCTCACACCATCCTTCTCTCCTGTGTCTTGTTCCCTATTGCTCTTTCCACTGTAACAACCATCTCTGGCTGTGAAGCTTTGAACCAGCTGTTGGTGTCGACCTGTTGCTCAACTGCTCGCTTCTTCTCTGCCGGGGTGGCAGCCAGCCTCTGGACCTGCTCTCCGTGACACTAGCCTCAGGATCCCGCTGTTTCTCCTTCCTGTCGGTGGCCTGGGGGTTCCTGTCAGATGTGGACATTCACAGCGAGCGCTTCAGGGCCCTGGGCAGCGCTCGATTCACAGTGGGCGCAGTGCTAGGCCTGGCCACGTTGCATACCTACCGTGGGCGCCTTTCCTACCTTCCCGCTACCACGGAACCAGCCTTGCCCATCCCAGGCCACAGCCTGCCCCGAGCCAAGTCAGAACTAGCCTTGGCCCCAGCCCCAGCCCCAGCCCCCACCCACTCGCCTCTACATCGTTCTGTGTCCGATCTGCCCCTGCCCCAGCCTCCCTTGGCCTCCCCTGGCTCCCCTGAGCCCCTACCTGGGCTGTCCCTCAATGGTGGTGGTCCAGAGCTGACTGGAGACTGGGGGGGGAGCTGGAGATGCACCTCTGTCTCCAGACCTACTGATGCCCTCATCCCCCAACTCTCCCAAAACCGCTCAGCTGTCGCCCATTGCTGAAGGGTCCCCTGAAATGCCAGCGTCCTCGGGATTCCCGCCTCCACCACTCAGTGCGCCACAAGCTTCCACCTGGGGTCCAGTTGATCACCTGCTCCCTCCCCTGGGCTCTCCCCTGCCCCAAGACTGGGTGACGGTAGAGGGGGAGTTTGTTCTCCTGCTGGCCATCCTGCCGAGCCACCTGTGCGCGGATCTGGTGGCAGCCCCGCACGCGCGCTTTGATGACGGCGTGGTGCACCTGTGCTGGGTGCGCAGCGGCATCTCCAGGGCAGCACTGCTACGTATTTTGCTGGCCATGGAGCACGGAAACCATTTCAGCCTGGGCTGCCCACACCTGGGCTACGCTGCAGCTCGTGCCTTCCGCCTCGAGCCACTCACGCCTCGCGGCGTGCTCACCGTGGACGGGGAGTTAGTGGAGTATGGGCCAGTGCAGGCGCAGGTGCACCCCAGTCTCGCCACACTGCTCACGGGGCCTGCGGGCCAAAAGCGGCGAACCTGAGGGAGCTTGAAGCATGCGGAGGTGGTGACAGGCTAGAGTCTATCTTGTATATGTAGGGCAGGGCTCTGACTCAGAACCGTAAGGGTGGAGATTGGTCCTGGTCCAATTCCCAGAAGACTTAGCGACTTGAGGGTGGGGCCTGCCTTCCTTGATGACCAATGATGGCCCTGGAATGTATGACCTTAGCAAGGCTTCGGCCCATTGGCCAGCCAGGGTCACTTCTTGCCTACTCCGGTGCCTCAACTTGACTGGTCAATTAGCCCTCGAGGGGCAGGTTCCCCAAGGCGGTCCCCAGATTTGCACTAATGTTCCTCCCCTTGCCGGTGGGGAGATTCACTTTCCATGTTCTGTGTCTCAAGCGTCCCTAGTCTAAAAAGCAATTGAAAAGGTCTATGCAATAAAGGCATCGCTTTCCTCTAGACCTTTGCCCCTTCCATCTAAACGCACTTGCAGTTACCCAGTAGCAGCGACCCGCTTGGTCTGCAGCTTTGAGTCAGAGCCAGTAGCTGCTTTGTCCGCCATAACAGCTGGCTCCTGGGTTCTCAAGGTTTATTCAGGATTGTGTTGATGGAGGCGGTGGGTGGATGGGTTCCCCGACCTGCTAAGAGCGCACACAGGACCCTCCCCACCCCTATGAGGGAGGTGGGGGAGGCTAGCTTTTTCTTAAAAATATAAATGTATTTGTCTGCATCGTGACGTCCCTGGGGCACCTAGCTGGCCAGACCATTGGCCATGGGATGAGGGAGGGAGGTGTCAAATATAAGTCTGAGCAAGAAACAGGAGTCTGCCCTAGCAGGGTAGAAGTGGCCTCACAGTGTCCCGTGCTGGGCCTGGTAACGTGACAGCACAGCACGGTAGTGGGACAGCTCCTGCCGCACAGCCACAACCTCCTGCCGTAACAGGGCGTTCTCCTTCTCCAGGAAGGCTGCTCGCACGGATATCTGGTTCTCCTTGAGTCTTCGTGCGTCTCGAGACCTCTTGGCTGCCTCATTGTTCTTGTATCTCCGGCTCCAATACTTCTCATCCTGGGGATGGAGGGATGGAAGGGCACTGAGAGCCAGCAAAGGACAAGTGGCAGGTCTGGAAACACTCCATGTACCTGCATCTGCACAGCAGTAAAGCCTAAGGGCTACTGGTCTTTGCTGGGATGGGTACCCAGCCTCTGCTGTCTACTGCCCTGGTTGCTAAGAACAGCTCCCTAAAAGAAAGCTAAAGCAGGAGACCGACTCCAGGTACACATATGAAAAACGTGGAGAAAAACATTCTCCACTGTGCAGAGCAGGCCTGTGTGCTTAACAGGGACCTACTTAGCTGGTTGCTATGGATGTTACCTAGCAACAAAGCCTTCAGGGTCTGAGGGTTTATCCCACTGAAGAGCACAGTGCCCTAGACATCACCTTTCCAGATCCTGGTTGCTAAGGAAAGCTTGGATAGGTCCCTAGTGATAAGGTTTGGTGTCGTGGTTGCCAAGGCAACCTCATCTCAGAAAATAAACACAAGCTTTAAACAGACCTAGTCCCCTTCCTTCCGGAGGTTAGAGAGCTGTCTGCCTCACCTCCCTCCAGTACCTGACTGACGAAAGAACTGGGGGCTGAGGCTTCCCCTGAGCATTATACCATGGTCTTTTGCCCAACTGGGAAGGTGCCTCCCTCACCTTCCTCCTAAAGGTTCCAGCTTGCCAGGACACAGCCATTCCCTAGCAGCAGCAGAGCTCTGAGCAGGAAAACCACTGGCACGGACTAGATTTCTCAGAACTAGACACTAGAACGACTATGGGTGCATACAGAGCTATGGCAAAGAAACAGAGACCCCAGGAACAGCTATACCAGAATGCTAGAAAAATCCATTAGCTGCTAACATGCCCACAAATCAGAACATGACTGGTAAGGAATGACTTCCGGGCCCCAGGATGGCAATGTCCGCACCCCAGGCTGGATGTTTCAATGTGAAAGCCAAAGCCGGGCCAGCTGCTCAGAGGGCTGATGGGATATTACAGAAAGCTGCAACTGGCCACAGGGCTTCTTGGAAGCTGAGCTCCGCTCCACAGGGGCTTCTGGGTGACTGGAGTCCACAGTGACACCATCTTCGTTACGCTCAGGACAGTGTGTCCCAGGAGCCTCAAGAACTGCCTATGTACAGGCCACTACGCTTCCCAAAGCCCTGAGCAGTCAGGTGCTGACCAAAGCCCAGCCCTATGCCTGGCTGCGCTCACCTTCTGTTCCTCGGGCACCTGGACTTTCCTTGCCTTCTTCATGATTGGCTGAGGCTTCAGTTCCTCTTCTGAGAATCGGTGTCTCCGAGGGTCAAAAGTCTCATGGCCTGGAATGCTTGACAGGGCGAGATCAGCTGGATCAGGTTCAAAGGTCATTAGCACCTCCACGGTGTCTGGGTCCACAGGACTGGGTGTGTCCCTAGAGGTCAAGCCTGGAGAAACACTTGAACGCATGAGTATTTAGTTTGGGGGATGTGTTCTCAGAGACCCCCGGCCCTCTATCTTATCCACCACAGGGCAGTCTTTTCTGTAGTCTAACACAAACCCTGCGTCAGGCATCAACCCTGTGACAAAGATGCTTAGCCACCATGAAAGCAATTCTACCATTATGAGTAAGGCACAAAAGACTGGCCTTAAATATCCTGAGTCTGCTAACTGCGTCTAAAACCTCAACGCTTCAGACTCGGTTTCATTTTGTTCCCAGTCCGAGTCCTACTTACTAAAACTTTGCTCAGAGCTTAAACCTGTTAGACTCACTCCTAAGAGTGATGGAGAAACGGAAGCTGCTCCAAGGTTGACTGAAAAACGATGAAGCCTGTATCTTTAAGAACGAAGAAGCCGGGGCCAGCCGAGGACACCGGTTTAGGGCCGCGTCACGTGTGGCCTACTGCTTCCTCTTTCCCCTCCCCCCCACACCACGCACCCTCACGTTCCCGGGCCCCGCCTCCTTGCGCGTGAGAGCGCGTGCGCACCGCAGGGATGGAGGACTCACGTGGCGAGGAAATGTGCAGCACTGGTTTTGCGTGGAGGTCGGATCAGGGACAGGTGTACCCAGGCGTCCCACATCCAGACTTGATAGGGGTCGCCTCCCCTCTTGTTCCTTTTGGTCTCAGCTCCAACATCTCCAAGGATCCTACCCACCCACGCCGCGCTTATGAGGGATCGTGGGAGAACGGGTCTGCCAAGCTCTTTGCCATCGGGACTCCCACAGTTCTGAGATCCTAGGACCCCGTCGCAGGAATATGGGGAGCTCCTCTGGAGAACCCAGAGTCGAGATCCCGACATTCTCTGCCGCAAGACTCTGGGAGCCAGGATTCAACACCCTGTGCCGAGGAGGCGGGGGACGACCGGGAACCTAGTGCCCTGCTCTGGCCTGCTCCCATTTTTATATGTCCTTGCAGTCCAGTCCCATCTCGTTCCCCAAAAATCTGGACCCAGACTCCCGAGTCAGTCCGCGCCCCAGTTAACTAAGGTGTTCTGAGTTTCTACTCTTTGGCTTCAGGAGCACGAGGAAACTTTGTCCTAGCGAGAAATACAGCCTCTCACTGGATAATCCTCTCGCATTTGGGGACCACAGTACCCCTTAACGGATCGCAGCATCTCATTGGGCAGACTTCCAAAAGCGTCGCGAGATCCCTCCCCGCCCGCCAGGCCCGCCCGGCCCGCCCCTTCGCCGCACCTGCGCGGTGGCCGCCGGCGGCTCCCATAGTGGCCCGCGCGGGGGCGTGCCCGGGAGAGGAGCGAGGGGACGAGGAGCCGCAAGAGCCGGGCCCGGGTGAGGGCACGGGCGTGCGCGCTGGAGAGGGTGCCCGCGACAGGCCTCCCGGGGGCGGCGGGCTCGGCGGTAGCCCGTGCTCCAGCAAGAAGGCGTCCAGGTCCACGTATTCCACGTCGCCGAAAGGCAAAGAGCGTTCCCACAGCAGCGGCGCAAAAAGGCTAGGGCCAGCCACTGGCCCTGAGCGTCCCCGCGGGGACCCACCGCCGCCAACCGCCCCCGTCGGGGCATCGGCTGCGCCCGCCGTTTCCAGGCCCGGCCCCGGGACGGGGGCTGAGGGCACAGTTGTCTTGCGCTCCTTTTCCTTCAGGAGACCTGTGGGCCAGGAAGAGATCGGATGGGGTGCAGGGACACAGGAGGACCCCAGGGCAGAGGAGGTATAGAGACCCGCATAATGGGGATATAGGGACGTGAGGAGGCGGGAGCCGCAGGGCAGACCCAGAGAGGTGGGACAAGCAGGGAGACAGGAACCCAGAAAGAGGAGACCCAGAGGGAAACCCAAAAAGGGGTGGTGGTGGAAAGTATACAGAAGGATAGGAATAGAGACACAAGAAAGCGACCCAGAGAAAGAGGATGATAGTTTAGGGGCAGGGGGGGGGGTGAAAGGTTGGGCAGGTGAGAGAGAAAAAGTGACAGCTCAGTAATTCCCCCAACTCTGGCACCCTCTTCCCCTCCCCCACATCTGCGGGGCAGGAAGGGGCTCCACTGCTTAGGCACATTCCTGGTCCCTAGTTTCCACGTGACCCTCTGAGGCCCCGCCCAAGCCCGTGTCAGCACCGTGTGAGCATCCGACACACCCCCTCCCTTCCCTAGGACTCCAGGGGTCCGGTCTCCGAGGCCAAGAGCAGAAAAGGGGGTCTGGCACCTAAACGCTGTCCTCTCGGAGGAAGACCCTGGGGCTTGACCCTTGGGCCCTCCAGGCGTCAGATTAGTCCTGAGCGCTGAGGTACTGAGAAACCTGAGTGACCGAATGAGGACTAGCAAAGCTGGGACACCAACCACCACCCCAATTTAAGTCCCTGAGACGGTGGGACTAGAACTCACAGCTGGCCGGTTCTTTGGGCTTGCCGGTTCCTTGCAGAAGGCTCCTCAGCCCGAGCAGCGCTCCCCCGCCAGGGGGGCCCCCGGCCGGGCCACCCAGCAGCAGGGGCCCCGGGGTCCTGTCGCTCAGAGGCCGCGCCATCGCCGGGCACCTGCTCCCAGGCTCATGAGCTCATAGAGAGTCGAAGAGATGATATGTCAGTCACCCGCACACTCCTGTGCTCCGGGCGAGGGTGTCCCGGGCTCGGTCGAGCGCGGCGTGCAAGCCTCCCGGGTCAGAACGCTGCAAATCCTTGGAGCGCTGCGGGGGTCGGCCCGTCTGCAGAAGGGTGCAACTCAGTGTCCCGGGAGGATCCTATCGCCAGGGCCAGTAGGCGACCACATCGAGCAGCTGTCTCTCTGCGACTGTGGGTCCCCGGGGGACACAGGCGCGCGCTGCTTCACCACCAGGTGGGCGAGCCTCTAGCTCCAGCAAATTTTGCACTTCTCGCAAAGAAAGGAGCTTTGCAGTCTGCACCCAGAGGTGTGCGCCCAGGGGCGGAGGAGGGGGCAGGAGGAGGCGGCAGCCTTGAGGCGTGGCCAAAGCAAACTTCTTTCGCGGAAAAAAAAAA